CACTGATGAATTTGGCAATACGTCCAGAACGCTCAATTGTGCTAACGGCCCGAAGGCTCGTGTGTTATTTTTATTTTAATTTTATTCCGGATTTTTTTCTGATTTGGTGGGTGTGGTGATGTTTTTACGTGACCTTTGAACTCGGGATATATTTTGCCTACGAAATGAGCTTCACATATATGAAGCCCAAGAAACAACGGGGTGAATTCTGGGAACGAAATATTCATAGTGATTGATATTTTCAGGCTTAATTGTTTCATTGCTAACGTGTTAATTGATCCGGAAAGCTGCGAAAGTTTTCCGGGCAGCTCTGAGCCCCTTCTGGCAAGTTGATAAAGTGAACTTGTGATGGAATGGGTGCAGTTGGAAGCGCCCAGTTACATAAACGTTCTACACGTGATTCCGTCAGCAGTCAAGTCGACTCTGTAGTACCGTCGTCTTCCAATTCGGCCGCCTTACGTCCAGAATCGTCGAGAAAATGCCGATTTGCTGCACTGATACGTAACAAATACGCAGAATGCAAGTTATCGAGGCTGCAATCCCGTCGAAAGGTAGTTTCCATATTATCATTATTAAATGCTGTTTGGAAATGTGCTTATTATTGTTCCAGAAATGCTTTTTTTTTCGTGAAAAGAAATCGTGCATAATCGTTCCCACGTTTTTCATGATCACCATCGGTCGTAGGAATTTTCAATAATAGTATTGAGTAGAAGTAAAGTACTTGATTCATATGCCTAACGCTTGTAGAGCTGAATCCCACGATTGAACGACTCAACTATCCCAGCTGTTTGATAGAGCGATTAAGTGTATCAGAATTATTTCATAAGAATGAAAACGAGCATAAATTCCCAGTGGATTCGTTCATTTCTTCAATGGTCTTTGACTTATCTTCTAAAAAAAGTGTTGATCTTCTAGAATCGTCCAGCAATTTCTCGCGACACACAACGTGCATTTCGTGAACTGATCAGCTCATGGTCATGTTCAGAACTGGCTGCATTCTGCACCGAAATGGACAGCGCTTATGCCGTAAGAGAGCTGGTGTTGATGGCCGAAGCGGCACGACCGCCTGTCTCATCACTGCAACAAGATCTTTTCAATGCATTCAGCAATTCAATTGCCACCGATTGTTTCGTGTTGTACAGGGTGAGTTATATTCCCATTTCTGATCATTATTGTTTGTAAATATTCCTCGATTCAAAAATATCTGCGTGAGAAATCATATACTTATCCACCACTGTAGCTTCAAAAAGCGAGTGATTATTGCTCGGTATGAGTGAAGTGTCAATTGATTTTGAAATCTACGATTCACGTCTCATCTCGCTGGTTTCAATCCCACCAAGCAGTCTTTTCACTGTGAACATAGCTAATATTTGTAATGTTTTTCGATGCATTCTGGTATGAAAACTGAGAATAACGATAGGTTATATTTTTTGCAGGATGGCCGTTATGCCGCTCACGAAGCGATCCTGTGCGCAAGGTCACGTTATTTTGCTGAGCAGTTTGCATCAGTGCATCATGATGTGAATGAGTGCATGAGTGCTTCAACGGGCACTCCCGCAAACCTTGAGCTGAAATTTATCGATGAAACTGTTCCGTATGAGATTTTCTTAGCTGCACTCCAATTTATCTACACTGGTCAAACATCTCCGTTACTTCTACAGGAACCGCAGAAAAAGTATCGCCTCAATGATGTTTTGTCAAGGTGGGAAATGTTCTCTCATACCCTTTCAGAATTTTTTTTAGCATCACCACATTGACATTCTCGTCAAAGCGTATGAGATTATGGATTGTAAATATGAAATTCCAGGCTTGGCTGTACTAAAGCGCTAATAGATGACCTATCAACCTTTGACTTTTCGAAAAATGCAGATTGTACACTTGTCTTTACGACAAACACAGCAACCTCGACTTCATATGGTTCGTGAATGTTTCTCTTATTTTTAAGGTTCCATTTGAAATGGAAATTTATCAGTTGTATCGAATGAAATATTTCACATGTTATCCTTTTCTATTATGACTTTGAAGCGTCGTTTCAGAATGAGGTTTTGAGGTTTATGTGATTTTGGATTGCAAAGACGGAATAGACTTTTTAGAATAAACCCATTTTAATAGATTATTTTAAAGTTTGAGAGGGTGCAAATTAATTCTCGTTTCAATTTGGTGAATGAAATTGATTGATGCTGTAGATGAGAAAGATGGGATGCGACGTTCGGATGCACTTGACTATCGGATTGGATGTGCGTCCGGAATTGTGGCGGCGAGATCGGACTTCTTGAGGACGTTAATTGAGCGAAAACGACAGAGTGGACGACCGGAAGACGGAGAAGAGCAAAGAGAATGTGCGCATTGGCCACTTGAGATAGTGATCGATGAGCATTTGATACCAAGAATTTAT